ACCATTAAGAAAACAGAAAGCCAGCTGCACACTGAGACAACACATCTACAAAAGGCACAGCTGAGCCTATGGAGAAACAGCACGGAACTGTACCCTGTCTCCAGGATGGGATTCTGAAGGAGGAAAAAAAAGGACAGAAGGGAAACATTGTGGAAATAGGAATAAAGTATAAACTGAAGTACATAATGAATCAATATGAGTGCGTTAACTGTGACGAAGGTAGCACAGTAACGTAAGGTGATAAGAGAAGGAGAAACTGCGCATGGCCTATACTGGAAGGAACTCTCTGCACTATCCTTGTAACAATTCTGTGAATCTAAAATTGTCCTAAAATTTTAAAAGTTTATTTTAAAATGTGTTTTAAGAGCCCCTTCAACAGCAGAAATTCAATTATATTACCTTATTTTTTCTCTCTCTCCAGACACACACACTGAATACTAATCACTCTTCCTCGAACACAATCTCTGTGTCAGATAAATCCCTGCAATAATCCTGCCAAGTAGTTGGGGTTATCCCCATTTTATCAGTGAAATTCCTAGAAGTTAAACAACTTACCCAGGGTCATAGCTGCTGAATCTAGGTCTGTCTGCCACCAATGCCCACGCCTATTTCGCTAGGAAACTCGGTATGTGTGTGTGTGGATTGATGTGTTATCTCAGTCAGGATCCAACTAAGGTCCCAGGAAACACTACGTATTTAACTCAGAGTGAATTTAATGCAGGGAACTGATCAGGCAAGAGATGAAAGAGCAGAGAAGCCAGAGAGGGGACCGGAAGGCGATCTGGAGATGAGCCTGGCCGTAAGGCTGCTACTACCCCTGGGCTGGAGGCTTCAGAGGAGCCCAGACAGAAGGGACATCAGAAGGTGGAACCCTGGAACCTACAGCCAGGGGGAGACACAGCCGCCAGAGACACTGCCCAAGAGAGGGACGTGGACTCTCCCTTCTCTCCCTCCAATCACCCTCTAATCTCTAAACCGTGTTGTCCTTGGCTGAACACAGAAGCCAGCTGGGCCCTGGGAATGGCAGGATCAGTCTCGCTGAGATACGAAGCACACAGGGGGACTGCCAACAGTGAATGACCACAGACAGGCCCGGGGTCAGCTCTGTAAGCAGAACCCCAGACACGTGTGCATGTTCTTACCTCCCACTTGGCACAGACACTGTTACTCTTTTCTTCCAAAGACAGCTTTACATCCTCAGTTACATTATTTTTCAGTTCTTCAACAGCTTTCAGATACTTGACCAGACTTTTAGAATTAAGAATTATTAGTGCTTCCTAAAAAAGAGAATGCAAGTGAGAACATGAAAGCCTCATTCTACTGCCAATTTCGGTAGGTCTTTAACAGGCACAATTAGGAAGAGGCTTTTTGAAGACTATGAAGATTTACGGGAGACTTTTTGTAAAGTAAGGTTGACATCCCTTTTGCATCTCTTGAATTATTTTGAAAAGAATTGCAAGATATTTATTATTCAAATGTAGTCAGACATTTGAGAACCACATAAGGACCTACTTAGGATATTCAAAATGATTTTTGTTACCCCTCTGATAAATAATTAAAAGGATTATCGTGCAGGGTAAGGAGCCACTGGTACTGTTTCCTCTAACGTTCTTAAGTACTAGCGAGCGGAGGACCATACTTCATTAACAATACCATATGAAGAATATGCTAGCATGTATTCGTGTTGCAATAAGACACAATTTATAGTAGGGTTAACAGGCAAATATTTCATCTTGTGCATAAGCATTTTTATGCGGCAACAACTCAACATTGTCAACTTCCAAGTTTTGCCCAGGGCCAACCCAGTCCTGCCCCATAGAGGGAGCAGCAATTGGGCAGAGACGTGTCTGCTCCTTCTCTCACGCCCACCTGCTCGTATGGAGTATTTACCTGGCAAACACTGGCAGAAACCTAGTCTAGTTAATTAGCAAATGACAGAACAAAGAAGAATTTGGGGCTCGTGAAAGAGGCAGAAAACCTATAGGAGACAGAGGACAAAAGTAATTCTAGGGAATAAGGCAATTAAACTGGGTGGGAATTTGTTCATGCCCTCATGACATTTGTCATGGGCCTACTGCAGAAAAGGTACAGTGCTGAGCCCCAGGGCCCTCCTCCACGGCCTCTGTGAGGACTGCTAGATTTACGATCTAGGGAGACACTAACCCTATATGCTGGCAAGGGGTCTCAGGGCAGGACATACAGGGCAGGGATCTTGCTTCTGTTGTGAAAACAGATCTACTTTACTAAATGCCAGAGATAAAAGGGGGCGGGGGGGGGGATCCCTGCCTCAGATTCCAAAAGGCAGGCGGTCAGGAAGAGGAAAATGGTGTCAGACTGACACCTCTAACTTCCCTCTCTGGTAGAGAAGGGGCCTGGAGCCTCCATGTTTCCTCTGCCTTCTGTCTCTCCTGAGCACACCATATCAGCATCCTGACATCCAACCTAGTGATTATTTATGAGAACCATTGAGAACCATTGACTCTTTAAGGTCAGTTTAGCACTCTCAGCATCCTGGGAATAAAAGCAGCAAAAAAAACCCACAGAGGGAACTGGTTAAAGGTGGTGACCAGCAACACGCAAACAGTACAGACCAGGCAGGGAGGGTTCTGAGGTCATGGGAAAAGCAGTGTTGAGATGGCTGATAACAGGGCCCGGTCTGGTTCACAAACCAGAAAAGCCAAATGAGGACTGAGGCCCAGAAAAGTAAAGGAGGCCACAATGAGAGTAAAGAGGCTCCTTCTCCTAAAAAAGATGCCTAACGCATTTTAAATGTTCAGCAAGTGTGTGAAATGTTGAATAAACGAATGAACAAAAGGACACCTATCACCCAACCTCTCCAATGTGTCCAGTGGTAGAGACCTTGGCTTACTTTTACTTCATATCCCCCCAAGCACCTCCCACGTGTTAATTAATAATGACTCTCTGGTTTGCACACATCTTTAGTCGCCTATCAAGCCAGGAAAAAGCAACCTGAAACTCTCTCCATACAGAACACCACCACTGGATCTTTAACCACAGGAAGCATTAGGTCCACATAGAACTTTCATCAGAGCATTTTAATAATAAAAGTGTTATTTTACATTCCGAGAAGTTTACCTATTCCAAGTGCCTTTATTTGCCTTATTTTCAGTTAAAGTCTCACAACAAATTTGGTAGCTGGAATTATGATGCCCTTTTCACTGATTTAAAAAGCAAGAGAAATTCAGGCTCAATATCGTAGAATCAGCTGTGCTCCTGACACTCTACCAACTGAGTCCACTCAGCAGGTCTATGATAAAATTTAAATTGAAAAAATTCTTCATGTTAATGCTTATTTTTAATCGTTTCTGGGAACAATATATGAAACTGGGGAATTTTTCCAAGTTACAATAACTTTGTGTGTAATTACAGTGATGAAAATATCTTGATTTCAAATGAGATAGGTAGCCAATAATAAATAGCCTACATTTGATGGTTGAAAGAGTCCCACCTTATATTTTGAAATTAGTTCACTCCGGCTCTCTCTTTGTCCAAGTAATTGCTCAGCCCTTGTCATGTATGAGTCAAGTTCCTTCTGTGATTCTTCCACCTTCAGCCTGACATCCAGGTTTGGTGAAGCATCAGCTGAGTTTTTCAACACTGCAACTAATTTTATCATATTGATCTGCAAAAACAAGAAATTCTCAACACCTGGCCCAGCTGTTTAGTTGGTTATAAATTATTAAATACATTCTTTGAGTAGTAACTCTAATTTTCCCACTAGACAGAAGAATATCCTATTTACCATATTGATATTTTCTAATATGTTCTAAATTATTTAAAATACATATATGTAAAAAATGCAAAAGTAATATTTTAGAAAACATTCCCAACCTCCAGGGCAACCCCTCCCTCTCCTTCCCCATCCTGCCACTGACCACTCACTTTTAAAGACTACATTCACTAAATAGGAAATAGTAAACAAGAGACCTGAACTTTCTCTTTTGTTTCTTGATTCTTTGTCTGAAGCCCAACTGTGAGAACATGTTGAAGGGACTCCTGGCTTGAAATATTTTGTATATCCATTTGTAAGGTATCTTCAGTTCTGGACACAAGCTCTTCATACATAGAGCCTTTGGCAATAAGATGCTATTAAAACAAAGTGAAACCACAATAAATATTCTGATTATATGTTAAACATTAGCCTTAATCTCATCACGACATCATAAAAAGTTAACTATTCATCCAAAATGAGGTAAATCTGTACTCTAAAAATGTTATTTTAAAACTTCATTTTGAAACTTTATATAAGTACAGATTCTGAGAAACAAAGTCTTTTATAGATTATTCTTTATACGGTAGGCATGTTAATAAACTAAAGCCTAGTAGTAATACAATGCCAATAGACAGAAAATAAGTTGAGAGAATAGTAATAAACCTTAAAATGAAGCTGTTCTAAGTCAAATCAGTTGGAAGGAAATTCAATAAATGTTACTGGAGAAACTATTGGAAAATAAATCTTTTTAAAACCATGCTTTCTACAACATACTAAAAATAAATTTCAGATGGATCAGAAAGTTACATATAAAACAAAACTACAAAACAGAAGAAATTATCCATGAAAACTGATACACTCTCTCTGGATGTGAAGTGACCTTTTTAGGGGTAAGAGTAAGAACATAAACATAAAAATTCTCTGTGTAAAATAGGGGCGCCTGGGTGGCTCAGCCGTTAAGCGTCTGCCTTCAGCTCAGGTCCTGATCCCAGGGTCCTGGGATCGAGCCCTGCATCGGGCTCCCCGCTCAGCGGGAAGCCTGCTTCTCCCTCTCCCACTCCCCCTGCTTGTGTTCCTGCTCTCGCTCGCTCTCTGTCAAATAATTAAATACAATCTCCTCTGCGCGTGCGCACACGTTGCGGGGTGGGGGCCTCGCCCCAGCCGCCCCCGCCGCCCCCGCCGCAGCTCTATGGTCTCTCCCTAGAGCTTTGCCGTTTGGGGGAGCTGCTCAGGTCCTGTGGCTCCGCCCGCTCCGCGCGGCAGCGACATGGAGGAACTCGACTCTGAAGACTTCTCCACACCTCGGAGGAGGACGAAGACTACGTGCCGTCGGATGGAGAGTAGAGTGAAGATGATGTAAATGAATTAGTGAAGGAAGATGAAGTGGATGGTGAAGAGCAGACACAGAAAACCAAAGGGAAAAAAAGAAAGGCTCAGAGCATTCCGGCCAGGAAGAGAAAACAAGGTGGCCTCTCATTAGAAGCGGAGGAGGAAGATGCCAGCGAGGAGTCCGAGGGGAGTAGCAGTGAGCAGGAAGATGAAGCCTCCGAGCAGGAGGAAGGCATGGGGCCAGAGGATGCGAGGAAGAAGAAGGAGGAGGAGTTGTGGGCCAGCTTCCTCAACGATGTAGGACCAAAACCCAAAGTGCCCCCAAGTACACATGTTAACAGAGGAGAGAAGACTGAAGAAACAAGTTCAAGTAAATTGTTGGTCAGAGCAGAAGAGCTTGAGAAACCGAAAGAAGCTGAAAAAGTTAAAATCACTAAGGTGTTTGATTTTGCTGGTGAAGAAGTCAGGGTGACTAAGGAAGTGGATGCTACCTCTAAAGAAGCCAAATCTTTCTTCAAGCAGAACGAGAAAGAAAAGCCCCTGGCTCCTGTCGCTGCATCTCTGCCGGCACTCCCTGCTGGGTCTGGGTTAAAAAGATCAAGTGGCATGAGCAGCCTTTTGGGGAAAATTGGGGCCAAGAAGCAGAAGATGAGCACCCTAGAGAAGTCCAAATTGGACTGGGAGAGCTTCAAGGAGGAAGAGGGCATTGGTGAAGAACTAGCCATCCATAATCGAGGGAAGGAGGGGTACACTGAACGGAAGGCTTTTCTAGACCGAGTGGACCACAGGCAGTTTGAAATCGAGCGAGATCTCAGGCTGAGCAAAATGAAACCCTGATGTCATGGCGGGAAAACAGTAGCAGCTTAATCCTGTTGACAATGTGAGCTTCTGGTGCGTCTGTGAAATATTTCTGGTGTTTCTCAAAAAATACATACATACATACATACATACATAAAATCTTTAAAAAAAATTTTTTTTAATTCTATGTAAAATAAAATAAACAACTTAAAAGTCAACGACTTGGTGAAAATATTTGCCACACAAATGAAAATGTGTCATGACTCAAAGACTTAAACATTCAATAACAGAAGTACTAAGATTTCCCCAAAATTCAGAAAACACATGAACAGATAATTCACAGAAACAAATGGTTAATACATAAAAGATAGCTCAACCTTACATGTAATTAAATAAGTACAAATTAAAATAATAACAAGGTACTGCTTCTTAGTTATCAAATCAACAAAAAAAATTACAATTCAAGGGTGGTATGAGTATGATAATATAGAAATTACATTGTTTAATATCAACTAAGTAAATGCTGATTTTATTTATCTTAGAGCAATGGAATCATGATGATTTTTATTTTCTTCTTTATACTTTTGTGCATTATTTAAACGTTCTACACTGAGCACATTCATTTATAATTTCAATTTTTTTCTTTTTAATTATAAAAGTAACAAAATCTCACATAAAAAAACTCAGGAATGGGAAGGTATCGAATGTAAAGAAAAAGTTCTTCCCCATTCCTCCCTTAGTTGTCATTTAAGTCAATCGTTCACACATTCATTTTAAAAATACTTGGTTTGCATCTACTAGGCAACAGGAAATGTGCTAAGAGTGGGGCATAATTCGGGCGCCTGGGTGGCTCGGTTGGTTAAGCAACTGCCTTCGGCTCAGGTCATGATCCTGGAGTCCCGGGATCGAGTCCCACATCGGGCTCCCTGCTCGGCAGGGAGTCTGCTTCTCCCTCTGACCCTCTTCCCTCTCGTGCTCTCTACCTCTCATTCTCTCTCTCTCAAATAAATAAATAAAATCTTAAAAAAAAAAAAGAGTGGGGCATAATTCAGGATCAACACAGAATTAGTTATCTGTATATCCTAACACATTTTTCTATGGATATAAAAGCATAAAGTCTAAAAAAAGCAACCATTTTATGCTCAACGTCACTCATCATCAGGGAAATACAAATAAAAACTATGATGAAACACCACCTCACAACTGTCAGAATGGCTAAAATTAACGCAAGAGACAACAGGTGTCAGTGAGGATGCGGAGAAAGGGGAACCCTCCTACACTGTCGGTGGGAATGCAAACTGGGGCAGCCACTCTGGAAAACAGTCTGGAAGTTCCTCAAAAAGCCAAAAATAGAACTACCCTATGATCCACCAATTATACTACTAGGTATTTACCCAAAGGATACAAAAATATACATTCGAAGGGATACATGCACCCCAATGTTTATAGCAGCAATGTCCACAATAGCCAAAGTGTGGAAAGAATCCAAATGCCCGACTGATGAATGGATAAAGAAGATGGGGTATATACACCCCATCTTCTCAGCCATCAAAGAATGAAATCTTGCCATTTGCAACAACGTGGATGGAGCTACAGTATATTAGGCTAAGCAAAATAAGTCAATCAGGGAAAGATAAGTACCACATGATTTCATTCATATGTGGAATTTAAGAAACAAAATGGATGAACATTTGGGAGGGGGCAAAAAGAGAGAGAGGGGGAAACAAATTATAAGAGACTTAACTATAGAGAACAAACTGAGGGTTGATGGAGGGAGGTGGGTGGGGGATGGGCTAGGTAGGTGATGGGTATTAAGGAGTGCACTTGTTATGATGAGCACTGGGTATTGTATGTAAATGATGAACCACTGAACCCTACTTCTGAAATCAATATTGAACTGTATGTCAACTAACTAGAATTTAAATTTTAAAAAAGCAACTGTTTAAAAACCATTTTAAAAAATCACATCACCTGTACTGCTCAGTAATTTACATTTCTTCCTTCACCATATATCTTGCTCTAATAAAGATCTACTTAATTCCTTGTTAACATAAGTATATTCTAGTATTTTGGATTTTCATTTTTTATAAGAGGCTTTAGAATATTGAATTTCTCATTCCTCACTCATTTCTTTCACTAAAATAAATTCCAGATATAGCAAATAAATAAATATAAAAATAAAATAAAAATAAGAATAAATAAAAGCACTGACAGATGGCACAGGTATGTTTATATAATACTTTCAAAGCAATAAAAAATACCATTCTTATAAACCATGAAAACACAAAATGCTATATATACACCTTTCAGAAATGTGGATTTAAAAGAATTACATAAATATTCCTTTATTCCAGGAACTTTCCACCTTGTTGTAATTTATGACATGCTCCATAAGTTTTATAGCTGAGCTGGAACTCAGTAAAAACCTCAATTGTAACTTCTTTCCCAGGAGAACTGAATGAATTAAAACACACTCTGGCCTCATTGCTTTTCAATGAGTCGAACTGCCAGAGAATAAAGACAGAAAGGTTTTAACAACATCCGTCACCCTTCCTGCATCAAGCAAGGGAAAGTGGCTTAATGGGTGGGTGAGCTTTCAAAGCATAGATCGTATAATCTTTTATACTCACACTGCACTGACCTATCTGACGTATCCTTACTCATCTCCTCATTGCCCTTGGAAACAAGAGAATATTTTAATTTCCATTCTGTAGCTAGGAAAATCAGTTCAAGAATTGAGAGTCATAGGTATTCTTAGTGGTCTCCTAATCTATCCTCTGTCTTCAAGCAAAATCTCAGCAAATGATCCAGGGATGACAATCCATACAATTTTTAAAGTCTGAACGAAGAAAATTCAAACAGTAGTCCTTTTACTATTTACATTTTTTAAGATTTTATTTATTTATTTAGAAATAGATGAAGTGGGGGTGGGGGGGGGCAGAGGGAGAGGGAGAAAGAATCTCAAGGAGATTCTCCACTGAGCGCAGGGCCCAATGAAGGACTCCATCCCACGAGAAAGAGATCACGACGGGAGCCAAAATCAAGAGTCAGACACTCAACCAACTGAGTCACCCAGGCGCACCTCATTACTATTTACTTTAAAACCTTGTATTTATCTTAATACATAAGTCCACAACCATGCAATCTATAATACTTTTACACTCATACCTGCAAACGTTCTTCCACTGAAGCATCTACACCCTCTTGATGTCTCAGAAACTCCAAAAGAGATTCGGTTTCTGCCTCCCAGATTTCCACTTGTCCAATGAGTTTTTCAACATCTTCAGCCACTTTAAGTTGCCCTATGAATTCATTTTCTTTTTCATGTTCTTCCTCGGCCTACAACATTCAAAATTATTGCTAAGAAGATGGCAACATTTACATTATAAAATAATTTTCAGTTAAAAAAAAAGTTATCTCTTTTTTTCCTGAAGATGGCTAATTCAATATATTTTAGTAACTTAAAACCTAGTTTTTGGACGATGATAATAGCACTTTATGATCATATTTATCACTTTAAAAAGTAAAAAAATTGTTCACATTTTTTTTTAAGATTTTATTTATTTATTTGAGAGAGAGAGAGCAAGAGCGAGAGAGAGAGAGAGCACAAGCATGGAGGGGGCAGAGGGAGAAGCAGACTCCCCACTGAGCAGGGAGCCCGACACAGGCCTCAATCCCAGGACCCTGGGATCATGACCTGAGCTGAAGGCAGATGCTTAGCCG